ACATACCACATGAACGTTGACGTGGCATATTCACCAATCCTACACCGACTGACAAGTAGGGCCCGTTCAGAAATTTTCTTTTTTCTCCATTTTTTTCATTTTCATTTCCTTCTCTTCTTCTTCTTCTTCATTTGGACGCCAAGGCTCTATTTGTCAGTGTAGAGTTAGTGATGATACTGTGTTGGTGGCGCTTAAGTGGCATGCCACATTAGCGCCACGTAGGATCTTGAAGGGGTTGTGCCATTTTGGACCGGAATGACACACCTTACAAGTTTTGGGATCTAAATATATATTTTAAGAGTTTGGGAACCTAGATGATATAGTCGTGCAAGTTTATGGACCAGCCATGCACTTTACTCTAAAATATTTTTTTCCTACTAGTACTACAATATATAAAACAACAGCCAAGACCACTTTTATGAGTGATAATAGTGGTAAAATACTACCATTATAGATCAATCTAAATGTACTCAACAAGTAAAGGGGTAAGTAATCACCATCCACGTAAGTTGATTGTACCTAGGAAATACTTTGTTTGAACATTAGCAACCTGAAAATATTTAATAGTTCACTTGTATTTCTACATTTGCATGATTTATATATTAATTTTCCAGGTTCTATGATAAGGCTGCCTTTCTACCGCGACACCCTCGGACAACAAAGGAATTAGTAGCAACACATACAGGCCACTACTACAGAAACATTTTTTATATACGAGGACCCATAAAGGTTGCAGGTGGACTGTAATTGGTCGCGTCTGCAAAAATCGTTTTCCGAGGGAAGGTTCACGGGCCACTTCCCATGTGAAAATGTAGCCCCCTGAGAGGTCCGCGTACAGAAATATACTTATTTTTTCAGCTGGGCTTTCTTAAGAAACCACATGATTTTTGCATCCGAACAAAGGGGAGAGCAAGTGGGCCCCACGCAACAATTCCTGCATCATTTTGTCCTTTCCTCTCACACTCTTCTTATCCACTCCTACTCCTCTCCTTCTCATCTCTTCCTTTCATACTCCCTCTTCTCCTTTCCTCTCCCCCTCCCACTCCAACGGCTAAGGCGGAGGCGGCAGGAGCGAGCAGATGTCATATACTGCGACGACCGACGATGACGCCGGGTGGCAGCGGAGGGCAGGATCCACAGTTGACGTGCCTCGGGTGTGCAAATCCACCACCGCAAGGCCTCGGGCACACAGGATCTGTGCGCCGCCGGGCCTCGGGCGACTTCGAGCACGGTGCAGATCCACCGTTGTTGGACCACTGGGCCCAGGTGACTTCGACCACATCAGTGGTGGCCTCGATCGACGACCACGACGGCGGATCCCAACATGACGATGGCAGTGGATCCGGTGTGACGGCAGCAACGTATTAGGGTTTCTGTATCGTGGATCTAGGGTTTTTAGTTTTGGAATTTTTTTCTCCAAATTATTTTTGCATGCGGCGTCCGCCTACGAAAATCGGATTTTCACATGCAAAATTATATTCTTTTTCTAGGCCTTTGCATGTAGGCAGACCACCCGTCCAGATGCAAAATCACTTTTGGCCGTTTGGGAAAACGATTTATGTAGTAGTGGGCCCATGGAGGCTGTGCATTGTGTACCAGATGGAGGAACACAAGATGCTGCTGCTGCTCTTGGTGTTTGGATCTAGGGACTTAACTTTAGTCTCTGTATTTAGACACTAATTTAGAGTATTAAATATAGACTACTTATAAAACTAATTACATAAATGAAAGCTAATTCGCGAGATAAATTTTTTAAGCCTAATTAATCCATAATTAGAGAATGTTTACTGTAGCATCACATAGGCTAATCATGGATTAATTAGGCTCAATAGATTCGTCTCGCGAATTAGTCCAAGATTATGGATGGGTTTTAATAATAATCTACGTTTAATATTTATAATTAGTGTCCAAACATCCGATATGATAGCGACTTTAAAGTCCCATCTAAACAGCGTCTTATGCCCTGTCTGTGCATCACAGGTGCTCTTTTTCATGGTCAATGTACAGATGGCATTGACATTCATCCAGAAGGAGATGGTGATTTACAATAATCACATCGGTCTGTTCACTGTGCCACATGCCTCTCTTCAGCTTTGATGCGGCCATTTTGCTGTCACACCATTTTGATCCCTATCTATCACACCATTTTGGTGTCACTTGCACGAGACATCACCGGCTATGACCGAGGCTTCTCACAGTTAATGCAAATGTGAGATCTCTATGAAACCTACATGACATTTCATCGTGAGTTCAACGTGTCCAATAGACAATAGCGACGTATATTTGCTTACCAGTATGCCTTGCACATTCTTATATAATAATTCTTAAAATCACCTCGATCTGTTTTCCATGTGCCCCCTCCATAACGGTTTAATTAACCGGTTTCTGAGAAATAAATATGATTTTGCACGATATTTTCTCCATCTACACGCATGTCTTCTTTTTCTTGCTTTTCATGATTTTAGGTTTGGAACTTTGGACCAATTATTTTCAAAGTAGCACCATAAAAAAACTGTGCTATTTTTTTTTCTGAAACTCAGTACAAATGTAGGCGTTCTTACAAACGCACCCATATTCACTCCTATAAATACGCACACGCATACTCTACCTCTATAAGCATCTTCGAATATTTGGTCGACATATCATAATTGAGATTGACGAAGTTGCTGTTAGATATTATCATATGTAACAGATATGCATGGATTTTAGTTGGTTTGGATAGATAGAAAGGTAGGACTCTTATCACATGTAATCAATGTAAAATCAAAGTGTGTTTGATTCTTATTTTGTGATAAACAATTGGCATCTAAAATTATTGGTTTTAATATTTGGAGATTATTGGCGAAGTGGTTTTGGAGATGATTGGATTTGCATGTGATGAACAGGTGCTGCTGACAGGTGAGAACCGGTCAGACTGGGCAGGTGCTGTCAATCAGACCGGCCAGCCTGCGGTCTGACTGGCCGACTCGACCTCCAAACCAACTCTATCCAGATGCATATACATATGTAACAATAGCACGATTCGGCACAAGCTGATTAACACGTAACGTGTCCACCTTGACGCTTCCTCCACTCGCATCTGAGTTCTTATATGGCATCTGTTAACAGTGAAATTTGGTAAGCCCGAAGTAATCATCAGCTTAGAGTCAGCATAGGCTTCGAAGTCCTGAGATTAGCCGATGAGATTTATCAAGTTGTCAGTTGTCGGATTCTTGCTATATTCGGTTAAGGAAATTGATCTACTAAAGGAAGCTTATCCAGAAGAGACCGAGTTCAAAGAGAGTGCGGCATGGCAAGTTATCTATTAATTAGAAATAGTTTGTTAGTTTCCTTTTTATCTTTAGGAAAGTGTGTTTAGTGTCCTGTAAGGACTTTATGTTTTCCTTTTATCTTTAGAAAAGTTTCTTTCTTGTCCTACAAGGACTAGTATCTACCCATGGGTATAAATATGTACACCCGGGGTCATTGTAAACTATCTTCACGATCAATACAATTCGGCGCATCGCCACCTTTTACCTTTTCTACTTTATTTTATCGTCCGACGGGACTTGGCACCTGACGTGGGGCTGCATCGGTGTTCGATCTCCGGCTAGGGGGTAAGGCTGCATCAGTACATTCGACCTCTTGGATTGCTCTGGTTTGGATGATATATTTGCCTAACTATTTATCATATGTCTCTGTTAATCTAGTCTTAGCATATCAATTTAGCTCTATCGGCTGCTTCTCGTTTTAGGGTTTCTGTTGGTATCGGCTAAATCGCGTTGCTAGATTAGATTAGCTTAGACATCTACCACCCCAAAAACTCAATCAACGGCTTGATTTTCTAGATATTATGTTTCTTTTCATACTTAGTGCTGCAACAGTTAAGCTTGATCTACTAAGTCGTGCTTCGAACCATAATCTCTAGCCTGCTTCTTGATTGCTAATGAGGGTTTCATCGGGGTTTTAGCCGGTGAGTTATCTGGACGTTGCATCAGCTCATAAGGATTGCATATACATATAAGTTGGATTTTGCCGATGATAACAAAGGTTTCACTGTTTAATCTAATCTTGTGGATTTCATGACATCGGACTTCCAGCCGATGTATGCTTTAACCTTTAAATCAGTGCTTATTCTATCATATCAATGCTAGCCGATTGGTTTATACTGGACTATATTACTGTTATATTTCATTATCAGTAGCCGATTGACTATATATCATTATTTACTAAAATGTTAGAATCTACATTGGACGTATAGCCGATTGCTCAAAACCCTATCGCTGTCGGCTGGTATCGCATTTAGCTATTATCGGCTATCGGCTGGAACTGCTCCATCGGCTTGTCAGCCGATTGGCTGTTTTGTCTATTATTTGCATATCTTGTCAGTTATAGGATTAAACTGACTGACATGCCCGCATCTCACCAATCTTTGGACCTGCACAGGAGCTAAGCAGATCTCTCAGGCCGGTGTGTTCGATTTTTTTCGTCAACAGTATCAGAGCTGTAAAGTCCGGCAAAATCAACAAGCCTGGTGATGGCAAGTTCCTCGTTGAGTGCTACCCTCACCAATCCTCTCTTCAGCGTTCAAGTTTAAGAGAAACTGGACAAAGGAAACTATGAGTTGTGGTCAGAGCAAGTTTTGGCAGCCATACGCGGGTCGTGCTTGGATGGGCACATCTCCGGCACCATCACTGTCCCATCCATGGAGATCGAGCGCACCACCGACGGCAGGACAGAGAAGATCGTCAACCCGCCTTTCAAGAGTGGTTCGCCTCCGACCAACAGGTATTAGGGTTCCTGCTCTCCACCCTATCAAGGTATGTACTCACCCAGGTGGCTATTGCATCAACGGCGGCGCAAGCATGGCAGCAAATTTGCGCCATGTTCACTACCCAAACCGAAGCACAGTCGCTCAACATCCGGCTTATACTCATCAATGCACAAAAAGGTAACATGAGTGTTTCTCAATACTATGGCAAGATGAAAGCTCTCAGGGATGAAATTGCTACCTCCAGGAAACCCTTAGATGAAGAAGACCTACTTGCTTACATTCTGGATGGGCTAAATGAGGATTTTGAACCTGTTGTATCTGCTATTGTGGCACGCAATGAGACGGTCACAATGTCAGAAGTTTGTTCTCAACTTCTTAATTTTGAGACCAGGTGACCTATTCGGCAAGTGCATGTGGCATCGGCAAATGTAGCGGTTGTCGTGGCGGAAGTACTCCGCGCGGTAATGGCGCTCCTGCCACCGCTGGGCGTGGACGCGGCAACAGCGGAAATCAACCCAGGGTGGCAATGATCGCCCCATCTCTTAGGTTTGCTTGAAATGGGGTCACGTGACAGCCGAGTGCTGGCATAGGTATGATGATACCTACATTCCGGATGAAAGAAGCGATTCATTTGAAGTATGATTTGGCTCATGAGTGTTTGATATTTATTAAAAGCCAAAACATGTATGTTTTTATGTATCACCATTAAGATATCGATTTTATAATCCTTGCACCATGAAAGTTGTGCTTCTTAGTAATCCGGCTTTTGTGAATGGCCAATGGGCTAGCTTTGCGTTATTATTATCAAGAGATGTTGTTTTTGCAATATTGGCCCTATTAGAATATTTTGCATTTATGCTTGAGCCAAAGTACCCAGGCTAGTATTAAATAGAATCCATATGTGTAGAACATATGATTTTGGTAATTCATAATTGGTCATTCAACGAGTGGCTGAGAATCTTTTATGCTTTGGTAATCTATCTATTATATACTAAAAGTCCATTAAACTTCCTACAAACGCTCTTAAGTCGCCATGTGGAATTCCTACAAACGCTCCTAGATTGCCACATGGCACTATCTAATCTCACCATTGATTTTCATTTAAATTGGTGCCCTATATTTTTTACCATTAGATTAGATCTGTTATTAAAAAAATAATACCTTCCTCCCACGCAGCAAATATATAACTGTCTGTACTACGTACGATTCAAAGGAAAAAAATAAAGCTTACCTACTGTGCCGCAAGAAAAAAAAAGACCATGTGGGATTCCTATAAACGCTCCTAGATTGACACATGGCACTATCTAATCCCACCATTGATTTTTATTTAAATTGGTGCAGTATATTTTTGACCATTAGATTAGATCTGTTATTAAAAAAAATAATACCTTCCTCCCACACAACAAATATATAACTGTCTGTACTAGGTACGATTCAAAGGAAAAAAAATAAAGCTTACCTACTGTGCCGCAAGAAAAAAAAAAGACCATATTCGTATAAAAGAAAATAAAGCCAAAGAAACATATGTACGTACTACCATCGTTGGAAAGAAAATCGACGGGATTTACTACAATTTAAAAAAAATAAAATATATCTATCTATCTATCTATCTATTATTATTAATACTAAATGTTCATATTAAACTTTCTACAAACGCTCTCAAGCTGCAACGTGACACTCTAATAAATTAGAGAAAATCCTGCAAATTCTAAGAAAAAACAAACTAAATACTAAGGGTCCCACCTCTCCTCTTCTCCTGGGCATGTGTAGCTATACTAAAAGTCCATTAAATTTCCTACAAACGCTCTTAAGCCGCTACGCGACGCTTTAATAAATTAGAAAAAATCATAAAAATTCCAAGAATAAACAAACCAAATACTATGGGATCCCACCTCTCCTCTTCTCCCACGCATGTATAGGTATACGTACGTACATTCCTTCCCTTCTTATTTTTCTTTTTTTCTTCTTTTTCCATTTATATAATGGATATATATTTTTTATGTAATCATAATTTTACTAACAAAGAATCTACCATCATACAACTCACATGTAACTAAATTAGCTCTACAGTTATTGAAAATAAAATTGACACCATTATATGGTACCCATTAAATTAATAATATACTCCATTCGGTTCTATAATAATTGACCTTTTGAACAAGGTCGAGGTCAAACTTTTATAACTTTGACTATCAATGACTTTAAAAATATTTAGTTTAAAGGAACTAGAACAACATATATAGATTTGTCTTAAAACTATGATAAAAGTAAACATATATTTATTTATCGTATATATTATAATAGAAAAATAAGATCAAAGATATATTTTGTAGACCGTATTATTGTTCAAAACTTCAATTAGAATGAAACCGGAGGGAGTAAGATAACTTCAATTAGAATAAACCGTCGTACTCATACTATTATTTTCAAATAATTCACTATTTTAAAATAAAGTATACACAATTATATTGTGTACCTATCAAATAAACAATTTAAAATCTATATTAACTAATTTATACATGCACTTAAACCGATGAACCCATTATTTAAATCATCGGATCTATTTTTTATTACAGTGGACTATCATTCTCAAATAATGCACTGTTTCAAAAAAAAGTCTACAACATTATATTGTGTACCCATTAAATTAACAATTTAAAATATATATCAACTAATTTACACTTAAACTAAAACCGGTGGACCCATTATTTAAATCATCGAATCTATTATTTGATAATAAATAAAGCGTCCAAAGTTCCCTCTTTGGCCCGCTGCACAATGCACGTCAGCACATTTTCCTTTTGCACGTGTGACAAAGCATCGTGTATGAGGCATAAGGTGATCACGACCGCCGCAGCGCTACCACTTTGCTACATGCCAAATCATATATGGAGATAATAAATTTTGTTAATAGCATGAAAAGAAATTTAAAGGTGTGATGCAGCGAGAGAAGAATTAAGCATCGTGGGTTATGTTTTTGGAACACTTAGCTCCGTTTAAGCTGAACCAAGAGTTGATTACAAAATAATTATAGTGTATTGTGTTATGTCGTATTTGGATTTTGTACTATTTGTTCGTACAGGTGAAAGAAATTATTATGTTATAAATGTGAGCACAATATTAACGAATAGCAATAGAACTCTTCTAAGACAAGGGAGTTTAAGACCCTCTTTATTTCCTGATTCCATAGTTTGGATTTTCGTTTGCACGCGTTCCAAGTTTCTAAATGGTGTTTTTTACCAACAACATTTTAACTTTTAGAAGTCAATTCATTCATTTATACCCTCAAATAGCTATCACATAAATTAGATAATTCATCATTTTCAGTTGTCCTAAACCCTAAGTAGTACATATTTTTTTTCATACGAGTCATGGTGAACAGTAAATTGGGGATCAACGGATACTCAAAGTCATAAGATGAATATGTAAGAGCTACTACGAACAACTGTAAATAGATGTCAAAATTAATTGCTACTAATTAGACATCTAATAGCTTGCTAGCCATATAATTAATTTCTCTCTATATGTATATAAACATCGATGAAGCTGGAACAAATATTACCATATGCCCCATAAATATATATTACGCGGTTAATATTCTACCTTTAAAATTTCTTAAAATGCTCTCGAGCTGTCACGTGGTACTCTAATAAATTAGAGCAAATATTAGAAATTCTATGAAAAACAAAGCAAAGTATATATTGCTTGATTTTCACTTAAATCGGTACGTCCAATATTATAAACCGTTAGATTAATTTGATCTTAGAACAAACTAAATACTATGAGATCCCACCTCTCCTCCCACGGCATATGTGCGCACCTACGTACGTGGGTACATACACTTCCCCTTCCTTTTTGATTTTCCCCCTTCTTCTTTTTTTTCCAAGCATACACTTCCCTCCCTTTCTTACTATATCATGCGCCTTTATAAGACGATTTAATTCACAAGAATTCTAAATATCTTGCTCTCGCATTTTTCATTTGTGGACATATATATGGATGGATTGCATGATAATTAACTAGCAATAGTTTCTTATTTACTCGAGAAAAAAACATGATTCAAAAGTGGTAAAGTACTTAATCCATCTCCTAATCAAAAGTTTATGAATGGTTTTTTGAGATACCTTAAGAAAAATAGAACCCTAAATTATTATAAAATACCATTATCACAACTTTAGTTTGCCCTTAATCTATTTGACAACATTTTTAAACAAACAATAATCTTAATCTTGCCTTTCAATAATATAAATCCAGGTTATACTAGGAGGCACGGCTTTGATCTTAAAATTGTGGTAGACTATGGATACAGCTACTACACGTCTAACATTGGTTGTTTGCTTTGGTATTGGTCAACGATCTATTACATACTTAAAAGCCCATTAAACTTCCTCAAAACGCTCTCACGTCGCCACTTGGCGTTCTAATAAATTAGAGAAAGTCCTAGAAATTCCGAGAAAAAAGCAAAAGATCTAGCCATTAATTTTCATTTAAACTGGTGGACCCATAATTTTACACCGTTAAATTAGATTAATTTACAGGTCCCTCTCCTGCCAAAGGCCCAAAGCTCTCTCCACGCACACGTACCTGCCACCTCCTGTAGGCCCCTATTTCTTTTTTTTCCTTTTTATTGGTGGTTAAGATATTTAATGGCCTATTTTATATAGAAACTTAATTAAATTCTCACTTCTCTTTTTCTAACGTGAAGGCTGAGAGCGGACTATACACCGGTTGCACCCATGCACTTCGCATGCATTTGTGGTTTATACTTTCGAGTTGGACCTTTTAAAAATAAATAAACAGTATTTTAAGTGATTATGGCTTTTAAATTGTATATAACCAATTTGTGATCGATTTGAACCATTCTAATGTATTTCTTTACTCAAACGATTTCAGGCGCATTGAACTATATTTCAGAGTAAAAGACAAATATTACACGTTGGCCCCAAGACCACTAAATTAAAGACGATCATTAAAAATTCTCAAACTTTTATGGAACTGATATTTATCTTTTGAAAGAAAATCATGGGGAAAAACATGCAAATTTTCCACCATTAGATATGCTTTAAGATGCATGCGTGGAAGAGAGAAAAAATCAAATGGCGCATGGATACCAAGGATCGAACCGGCGATCGACGTGCAAAACGCTAGAGCATGTGTTCACTACCAAGCTTTGTAAATTTTTCTATTTTACAATAATAATTACATCTTTCTTGTACTGGAGTTACATACGAATTACGAATGTAATTACACTGCTATTATACGATAATTACATTTGCCAGAATTTTAGGCTGATTTTCTATCAAATGTTAGATAGGCAGTCTCTATTTCTAAATCTAAATGACAATGATATGCCGTTAGAAATATATGCAATGCCTTTCTATCATTAG